CCTTGGGGTTTGTTGGCACGCTACTTGTATGAGGGTGTGGTGTAATAAATCACTGTCAAAATTAATCATTTTTAATCTTTTATTTACATAAATAAATGCGTAATATTTAAATATGAAGAATCACTGTTTGGTTTGGAAGAACAGTCTCACATGGCAACTACAGCAGGTCTTGGTAACTATTTTCTAAATTCAGTATTCAATTATCAATCCTAAGATTGCTTTCATCAGTCTTGTACCTCTTTTTATTAATTTTTTCTTGTCTTCTTTGAAAGATTAACTAAGTAATTCCATTTCATTGTTTTAAATTTTATGAACATAAACCTGTGATAGAAAAGCAAGGCAAATGTTTAAGTTTAAGCGCCAAGGAAAGTAAAATAAATCCTTAAAAAAATAAATGAATGATAACTTTTTAGAAAGACAACAATAAGCGGTTAGCAACAACAATGTTAGAATCCTTACATAAAATCCATGAACAAGACGCCCTTATCTTAAGAAAACGACAAGAGGGGAACCCTATGCCCTGAGACGAGTTTCTCACCGCCCCGACGGCACGCTGTTGCACCTACTACTAAATGTGTAGTCGGCCTCACTTCCTGTCATCTCACAAGCAGTGGGAGAACCCACTAACGGAGCTCACTCCTTTGCAACGTAGTGTGTCGAAACATGAGTCCATAGCACAGCACTGAATTAGAAATTCTAAGAAAAGGTAAGTACTTTTTGAAAAGTCATGTTTATGCTCAGAAACGACACGAAAATGTATTTTTTCAAAATGTTAATTAGTAGGGAAATATCCACCACTATTTACAAATAGAAATATCAAAAGTGGTAATTTCAAGCACAAAATGTGAAAAATAAGAATGAAGGCTTTTCACTGTTTTCAAAATGGAGAATATGGAACTTATTGCTTCTAGTGGCGAGGATTTAAACAAATACTACGTATATATTGCACCATATTTTATGCATAAATAATAGTCCAAAACATTTTATTAATATTTGTATTGCATTAATGTAACATAAATAGTACTCTTTTGAACATCTTTCCTCTGAGACATGAATATTAATTGTCCATTACTATGTCAAATATGAAACTTTTGCAATTTTTAAGTGGTGATAAATTTTGTACCAGTGTTCAAGAATTTAAAAAAAACACGAAAAAGTTCTTAGCTGTAGTCAATTATGATGCTTTTACCCTAGGTGTGAATTCAAATATCAGAAAAAGTTTTATTTTGTAGAGATGGTTGACTGACAATATATGGATCTTGTTGACTCTGTGAAACAACACTGAGTTCATCAATGCACAAAATTGCGTATCTATAGGTTCGGAGAGGGTTGTTTGATTATTTTATATTCAATTATCTTATGTTAATGTTCATATTTAAGAATGATCGTAACAGTTTTTCTTCACTTTATAAAAAGTAACTACGATATTGATTGTAATTGATTCTAGGCGTAAATGAATTAAATATACAAGAGATGAAATTAAATAAAAATGAAAATAAGGAGAAAATCGTTTTTTGGAGAATGCGTTTGATATTGTCGTAAAAAGGTATGAATGCACACTCGTGTTCTAAATGAAATAGTTACTGATTTAGTAGTAGTAAATTAAGAAGGAGTATTACGTATTTGGTAGTTGAACGAGCGAAAGTGTCACATATTATGAATGATATACGTGTTTTACTGAAACTCTGACAGATGGCTGAATTTTTGAAGGGATGTGTTTTATTATTGTAGAGAGTGAAAACGTACTTTTGAGTGGTGAAAGAATAGTTATATCAATTCATGGGTGTAAGTTCGGCAAAAATTGTAATTGAAGAAAAAGAGTAATGGGAAATGGGCATTTGGAAGAATTGAATGTGTGTCAATTCTATTTGTCGCGGTTGTTGAAAATAAAACAAAACGGTTACTTTCATGAAAATAGAAAAACGTTTTTCAAGCCGTAATTCAATGTGTTCTCGTATTTTTTGAGATATTATTATTGTCCACGTGGGTAATCGGACCTTCCCGTCAGCTACTATTTTTCACGGAGCCTATCATGCGTACTCGAATTCAATTGAAAGCACTTTAATTCTATTTAAACGTCAATTATCTGGGCGTGGCATTGAAGATCAATTTCAATCTTTTCTTTAGAAATATGTGGGAAGGAAAAAATTACAAAGGAGTAAATTTTACAATGTATCAATTGACTGATAGTATTCATACAATATACAAACAATATAGAAAATTCCCCAAAAGAATATACATGAGTACCTGTATTTTATTTTTTAGTTTCTATTTGTTTATTTTTTGTTATAAAATGGATGAAATTTGCGTGCGACAACCCCAATAAGGAAAAAATATAAATATTGCTTAGGTGAGAATATGAATCAAGAAGACCTAGTTTTTCCAACTGGGAGCACGACAGTAAGGAGGCAAAACCGGGGATATATAAAAAAATAGAAGTAGGCCCCGCCGTAGGGCGGGAATAAATGAAATTCCTCTTCCGGGCTTATAAATTATGACAAAACCCGGGAAATTCAGGATACGTCAGCTAATCAAATAGAAATAGAAATATTTTACCCTCAATTTTTGTATATTCAAATTCAAAATAAATTCAAAATACGTATCTTACAGTTATTATGATCCACACTTCACTTCATAATAATGGAACTAAAATATGTTGGAACCCCTTCGCTACACGAAAGTAGATGCTGTTATGGCCGGACTTCGCCAAACGACGTCTTTATTAGAAACCACTGCCTATTTGCGTGTTCACTCTCGTTACTTTAGATAACGGATAAATATTGAGATATATTGTTAAAAACTTTATATTGATCTCTGTGAAATTTGCCGTGCAATTCCTTGGGTGCTGTATAACAAGAGTGGTGTATTACTTCAAAAAGCCAATTTTTCAGTGACGTGAACATTTTATATCAGTGCAACAACTTCCCGCTTGAAATAAACACCGGCTTTATAAAAAGATGTCAAAAAATGAATGGAATGAGCCAGCGACGAAGATGTGTTAATTCATAATGTTGATAATGTCAATTTTTTTCACAAAAGTATGCTGAAGAAATGGTTACGATTCCTCTTTCCTTAAATACGAGATTTAATATATGAATATTGTTTGCTTTATTTCAGTCAATGTTAATTACTTTGTAGGATATATGTTCTAAGAATTCCAATTATAGAAGTAGTAAATGCACTTTTTTATCATTAAATTTAGTTCCAATGAAGCTAAAGAAGTTTCAGTTACTTTGACGGTCCACTGGTGAAGAGACACTGGTATTTTCTGCTTTTATGCCGATATCCAGAGTCAGAAAGAAATAAGTGAGTGCTATTTCCTTCATTCAATTTATAATATTTGTTCATTTCTAGCTCTAAACGATAATTAAATTTCTTTATATCGCGTTCGATGTGAATTACAGCTATTGATATTTTCGAAAGCGTAAAGAAAAGTTTTAAAATCAAGTTCTTCAACACAACAACGCTAGTCTATTTGCCATATGAAATAAGTGAATCTATATTTGAAATAAAGTAAATTCGAAATTTTTAAAACTGCAAACAAGAAGCAAATTTTAGTTGAAAATACACGCAAAACATGCGAGGAAAAAAACTTTTATTGAATTAAAAATATCAGTAGTATTTATTCTGGAACATTGAAGGTCAACGCAATAGATAAAGAGAACAGAAATTGCGTGCAGAAAAAGTTATTTACAGGTTATGAAGAAGTTATTCCGGTCATTGTAGCCACATACCATGACAAACGACCTCATGCTATAGAATTGGACGCAAGCAAGACGCCAATATTCCACCTTTAGAAACGCGAAAAACACATTAGTCTAGGAAATAGAACAGCGATAGAACACTTACTCTGGAAGCGTAACAAAAAATAAAACTTTTAAATAAAATTTAATAGAACTCTTTGTGAAAACAAATTGAGTTAAAAAAGTAACTTGTGTAGAGGTAGCACTTTTTACGTTTGATCTCGACTAGGTATCGGATTGGACTGGACAAAACAGTTAATTTGAGACAAAACTGGAGGCGACGTAACAACATAACTGGTAAAGAGGAAAACTAATCACCAAAAGCTAAATTTTACATGAACCTAAAGTAAATAGAAGAAGAAGAGATGAACAAGAAGAAGAAAGACAGCAAGAAAGTAGCTAATGTTTTGTGTGGTAACATCTTTAAAGTCTAATACCAGGCAACCGTGACTGAACAAAATAGTTCTAAAGAAAACGTACGATCTAAAATGAACAAAACAGTTATTTAGTGACAGATTATTCTGATTTTCCCCCGTCAACCGACCTCAGACTACACATCCGGTGTGGGCGAAAGCAAGCCACCGCTTGCCCAACTAAACAGTAGTGGTTTGGGGGAAACGTACAAACTAAACTGAACCAAACAGTTATTTAGCGACAAATTATTCTGATTTTTCCGTGTCAACCGACCTCAGAGTACACTTCCGGTGTGGGCGAAAGCAAGCCACCGCTTGCCCAACTAAACAGTAGTGGATTGGGCGAAACGTACAATCTAAACTGAACCAAACAGTTATTTAGCGACAAATTATTCTGATTTTCCCGTGTCAACCGACCTCAGAGTACACATCCGGTAAGGGCGAAAGCTAGCCACCGCTAGCCCAACTAAACTCTATTGGTTTGGGTGAAACATACCATCTAAAATGAACAAAACCGTTATTTAGCGACACATTATTCTGATTTTCCCCTCTCAACCGACCTCAGACTACACATCCGGTGTGGGCAAAAGCTAGTCACTGCTAGCCCAACTAAATTCTAGTGGTTTGGGCAAAGTGAAGTACACAACAGGCCGATGCCGCGGCATATAGATTTTTCCGGGAGGCTAGTGGCGAGGGCGGTGGCGGTGGAGGCGGCGCTCGTGCGGGCCGGCAGCGCCCGACGCCAGCCGAACAGCGCGCGAGGCGTCGGCGGCGGCCGGAGCGCGCCAGTCGCCGCTAGGGTGCGTGCGGTGCGGTGCGGTGTGGCGTCGCGTGCCGCTGTCCGTCGCGCGTGACGCGCGTCTGTCCGTCGCCCGCGCTCCGCCCTCCGCTGCCGCCGGCCGCGTCGCTGTGGGCGGTGGGTGCGACTTGACGTGGCCCCGCGAAGCGGCGAAATCCTCGGGTGCTGGCAGTTGTAGTGAATTATTGCTGTTAAAAACTGAACGTGTCCCCCTTTATTTATTGGACCCCTTGGAGTGATGGATCGGTTGTGGAGGTTTCAGTGGTTTGCGAGTGAAATGAGTTATCGGTAAAAATGACGAGTTCGTAAATTGTTTAATACATTGATTGGAAATGACCGATTTGCGTTATAGATGAGTACAAGTGTTGGAAGTGTTATAATTAACTGCGTTGAGATGAATCGTGTTTTATTTGAAAATTTTGAAAAATTGTATGTTAAATAAAAGGTATATGAGAGTGGTGGAATTAAAAAAAATTTAAATATTTTATCGATATCCAAAACGTTTTAAGGGCAATAGTGACAATTCATATGATTACACGACGATTAAAATTATTTTAATTGCCTTGTGTCAAACATTCCGTGTGTTTCAATGGAATAAATTACTGTGAAACTTTTTGTAACGTATTAGTTAAGTCCATTGTTTTCGCACAAATGTGTCCATTTTCGCTTATTTGAAGACGTGTCTCTGAATGACAGTATCATTTATGTTTTCATTAAATAAATCGCCTTTACGGTGATGTTTCGCAGTTACGTGTGCTAATATTAATCTCGTGAAACATACGACCCCTACACTTTTTTCTACGTTCGTTGTTTACGAAAGTGATGCATATCTGAATCGAGCGTTGGCACGAAACATGCAGTGTCTGGAAATGACAGGAGCAATTTGTTACCCGCGCCTCTACTAGAACCTCAGCCGCTTGACCGGAAGATGAGTGATACAATCGAGTGTCGCATCAAGTCGAGGAATGACCACTCCGAGAAGAAAAGTGCGCGTCTCGCCGTGTCCGGTGCCGAAGTGCGAGGATGCGGTGTGCGTGAGTGAGTGAGCGAGTGTGCGAAGCAGTGCGGCAGTGGTGTGCAACGCGAAATGTCGTCGCCGGCGGTGGCGGTGGCGGCGGCGGCGGCTACGCTGTCCCTGGCAGCGCTGTGGCTATGCCCCGGCGCGGCCCTTGCCTTTGAACTGGCCTCCACCGCGGAGCCGCAAGTGCTGCTCGACGAGACAGGTAGGCGGAAATCGGCGCCTCGGTGACGCAGGGGCGGCTGGCTGCTCAAAACACACGCGAATCCGGTGCGATGGGAAACATTTTCAGAAAAACTTAATTCAAGAATTAGATGTTTCACACACCCAACAGACCTATTAAGCATCATGATTTACTGTAATGCAATTTATTTTGAAACACATTTTTTAAAATAAACATTCAAAAGTTTGAAGTAAACATGTAGTGAACTATTACAAATTTACAGCTAATAAATTTAGTATTTTAGATCGAATTTTCCGACATACTTCTCTATGAAGAAGCGTCTCTGACGTGTAATGCTACCATGCGGTTTGTCAATTTCGTCAATACATTAGAGTGCGATGTGTCTATTGTATTAACGCAACAATAACAATAATAAAATGTTAAATTTATTTTTAAAACTTAAATATTTGTGAATAAAATTACATTGGTGGGGAAGTAACTTGTTGCAACTTTTTCGCGCAATACGATGGAATTTATCTCGTCCCTGGCTCCACTCTCGCATCGCTCTCGATCCGGATCTGAGGCATTTCCCCAATTACGTCCACCCACATTGAGTAATACGATGAACGTATCGAGTTAACTATGTTTAAAACATGACTCTATTTCGTAGTATGTTCCAATATTCCAACCACAAAGTGTACGTTACCTAAAGTTCATGCACAAGGAAAACATATTCTATACGTTTCCCTGCCTTCTATATGTACTGTTATTTATATTCTGGAAGGACCTAAATTTAATTAAAAATCCTGTAACATGTCAATTTTTTTCAACTTCCTCGGCAGTTTTTCTAACGGATTCAGTGCCGCTTCTATCCGAAATGGTGTACCAAAGACCATAAATATGGTTCAAGTAGCTCAAAAATAACATTCAGTGAAAGGTTTGGTACACAAAAGATATTATGTAGTTTTATGTGACCTCTCAAACTCTATAAATATCGTGTCGTGATTCAATCTGTGTTCCCGTAACTATCGTTTTTTTCAATATACTACATCCTGAAATTTCAAACACACAACAAAGTAAATAAACAAGATACTATTCTCGAAAATGAAAGCCATCTTCATGTCTACATTTTATATTCAAGACTTTTCGATTTAAAATCTGTTTACGATGGCTTACGTATTGCATTAAACAACGATAACACACGTATTGAACTAGATAAACAGAGTTCATTTTCTTTCAAGACTCAGGCACATTATTCAGTCTCTTTCATAGTGCTCCGGACTTGTAAAAATAACTTCTTTGGTCTATATAGTCTTAGACTACAAAGAAGGTCTATACTGGGCTGTCAAGTAAATTTTTCTGAACTGTTGCAATTCTATAAATGACATTTACCTAATTTTAGTAGTTGCTTTTTCACTTTTTTATTTCTTTCATACACCTTTCTTTTTGTGTTTTCATTTTTTCTTTTTCTTTCCAATTTTTTCTCAATCTATGGTTCTTTGGGTTTCTGTTTTCGCATTCCATGTTTTATTTATTTTTGCTTATTGTAAATACTATAAAGCACAAACATTTGTTATCGTGGCTGAGACTCCGATTATATTCAGAATTGAAGAGAACTGGTTTGATTCTATGTAGTTTTCGCAGTAGAAATTTAGTTCAAAAACAAAAATACGTCTTGAGCAAAAATACGCTATATTCGCAACAAGGGACTCGAGTTTTTATGTTACTCTTTGTCGCATATCTCTCATTATTTTTTATTAACACCAATTTATTCAATGGTTCACCTCGCTTGGTCCTGATAATAATTCTGACAATTATAATTTATTTAATTAATTAAAAACGAAAGTGACCAAAATTTGATCTTGAATCATATACCATCATTTCCAATATATTTATATTAGTTGATTATATTTCTCTCAGTATTGTATTTCGTTTAAACAAATATGTTTGTTCTTGTACGTTCTGTGAGCGGAAATCTTGTTTAATTTAACTGTGTCACATCAAATCGTATATTTTGGGCATTCGTTTTGATTTTCTTGGAGTTGCGACAACCGATCGTTTAATTTTCTTCTTTACTCAATTCAATTAAAGAGTCTAAGAAATAAATGATATTGCGTATGCCAAGTAGTATACATATTGCGTTCTACATCGTTTAATATAGCTATCAAGACGTATTTCGTAGAGAGTGTAAAACATATTGCAATTTGCAGAGCTCTCACATAAGGCATGATGCATCTGAAGATTCTCCGCGAAGAGCCTAAAGACTTAACAAGTGGCAAATCAGGATAATCAATACAAGTGGAATTCAAACATGTGATTTTTGAGTTTTGTTTTTCTAGCTCTTCACTTTCTAGTGCAATTACACCACCATATTCAGTCTACTCAGCATATTCTACTTGTTCTGAAGTACGAGTAATCATAACTACAAGTCATTTCATTTCGAAATAGTAATTAGCAGTTCTGTGTTTTAAAATATGGACTAATTTAATAATGATTTATTTTATGATTGATGCGTTTGTTTTGTTAAAAATCCTTCTGACTGAATCAATCCTACGACGAGATGCAGAATTTATGTCGGAGAGTGCAGTGTAAAAATGATAAAATATATTAGCAGTCAATAGTATCCTGATTCGTTTGAATCGGAATGAAGGGGTCATTGATAGAGATTTTATGTGAGGGTAATCGACTATCTAATATCATGACAAATTTAAACCTTGGCATTAGTTGGACACAATCGTACGTATGGAGTTACAAAAAAGATGTTCATCATTATTTATTTGTTTTGAGTATTCGCAATATTTTCGCTTCTTGTTCATTGTGATTTACATTTTCTTCTTCTTCTTCTTCTTCTTCTTCTTCTTCTTCTTCTATTTTTCTGTTGATCGTCGTTCCTTACCCATTTAGCTTATCGAACATTTCCTTCCGCACACCCACTATTCTTTCTGGTCGTTCCTGTCTTTCCAGCCAACTTCCTCTTTTTCTAGACCATTAACTTGGACTTTTTTTGCGTTCTCCTCGTCCCTCCTTGTCGCCGTCTGTTTTGAAGAGCATCAAAACTGCTCACGTCGAGAGCCAACATTTTCTCAAGTTGCGCGCCGTCGAGCGGGGCTGGCCATGACAGGGCCGCACCCGGCCGTCACTTGGCTTTACGACCAAACGCCTCGGCCCCCTCCCCTCCCCTGTCCCTTCTCCCGCCCATCCGCCCGCCCCTCCCGGCACGTCTAACTCGTCCCTTTCCTCCCCGCCATTTCCCTTCTTCCAGCCCCATTCCATCCTGCTCCCTCCAGTCCCACTCTCCCTGGCCCCACACTGCCCTTGCTCCACACCGCCCGTCCAGCCCCTCCATCCCACCACTCCAGCCACTTCAACCCTCCACACCCGCCCCGCCCCACGCCGTCGCGCTTCGGTGTAAACGCGATTAAATCCACTCCCCCCGCCCAACGTCGCCTCCTACCTGCCTTCCGGCCGCCGCGGAAACAGACGCGTCGCTGCAGGTTTCCGGGAATTAAGTGCTAATTAGAAGCGCCACCCTAACGTTTATGCTTTCCTTCCCCGCGCTTTGGATCTCCACGGAGACGAACGGCCAAGCCCCGGGGAATTGGAAGTCCCCCCTCCACCCCGTCCCTCTACTCTTCCCCTCCCCTCGTTGCTCCTCCACTCCCGTCCCCTCTTCACCACCCCTTCCTCCGTTTTACCCTCCTACTAACCTCCCATGCCAACTTCGCTCTCTACCCTGTATTCTCTTCTATTCCACTCTCCATTCTCTTCCTACCCTACTTGCGTTTCCCCTACCCTTCACTCTCTCCCCTCACCTTCTCCTTCAATGCCTCTACTTCACTTCCGTACTCCTGCCTATTTTTATTGACGCTCCATCATTTCGTCTCATTCTCTTTCACTCCTAGACATTTTCTCCCCTAGTATTGTAAAGGAAATAATCTCCACAAAAGTAACTTTCCTTTACAATACTATGGATTACCACAAGATATCTGCTACCACCACGCAATTTATTTTCTCCCCTCACAGCCCCGTTCTCACTGACTTTCTTCTATCTTTCTTTACCCCCCTCCCACTGTTATTTTGGGCTCGCTTGTCCGTTCCTCTCTTCCTACCTCAAACTCTTCCCACCCGTTGCCTCTGCGGAGGCGGACGTTTCACCAGACACTAGAGCTTCTTCGAGCTCCTCCTGGAGATGGACGTGTTGCACTCGTGACCTTTCGCCTGCTCTCACTTGACTGTAGGTACGTGGGCATTTGAACAGTACATTCCAAAGACACATTGAACAATCCAGAGAGCTCTACGCAGTTATAGCATAGTTCTAATATGTAACTACACCTCGAGGGCCCCATTCAGTGACCCATTTGTTCCACGTCCTAGTTCCAGGTTAGAATCCCGCAGACGACTTTTGATAAACGTTTCTTGGAGATGCCGGGTTGCGTTCTGAAGGTATTCGAAAACGATTGGAAAGTACTAAACGTCATTCGTTTCATTTGGGATTTATTGTTAATATGAATTTAATTAACATTTTTTTACAATTTTATATTAGTAACAAACACACTATTAGATAAATTAATATTGTTGATCAGTTATCATGAAAGAAATTCGTCAATATCTGACTCTATTAGAAACTCACTGTTTTTGCATGCCATTGCAAATTATTACCTGTAAATATCCTATTCCTTTTTATTACATAATATTTTGATTATTGTTACAAGTCAAAGAATAAATTACATTTGTATAAAAATAGCTTTATTTTATACAAATTTTAACTTAATAATTGGAAACGGCACACATATAAGAGGCAATCAAATACATAATATATTACACAAAATTGCTATTATGTGAAAATGCATAATAACATTTTAATTACATCATCGAAAATCTACCAATTGATGACAAAATTTGAGAGAGAATTGGCCTCAGAACAATAGTGCACATGAAATTGGTCGCTTAATGTACCCTCACAAGCGTCCTCAAATTTGATCACATTTCATGTGTAAGAATAATAATGTTGGGCGCGTGCGAAGGGTCACACAAAGCAGAAT